CGGCCTGCTCCCCAGGCCAAAAAACAGGTTACGTCAGTCGTGGGTGCAGCTGGCTACGATAAGACGCCTAGGTGCAACTATCATGGCTCAACTGGACCTGTGACTGACCTAGCAGACAGGAAACTGGAGGAACTGGTGTCCTGGCTGCTAGCAGGTAAAGAGGACTGTTCATCTTGGATGAAGGTACCTATGGACACATCTGGGAGACGAGTTCCAGAATTCGCCTGTCCGGTTCCGGTGCACACAGGCGCCACTACCTTCAGGCCAGATGTAGTCCTAGGCCTGAGGAAGAAGGTGGGAGAGGGAAATCTCTACCTCGACAAGAAGCTACATATTAATATGTTAGGTGACACCCCTGAGCCGAAGTGTTTTGTGAACGGGTGGGCACCCCGGCAGTCACCACGGTATTCAGATAGCCACAGCCGACTGGTGCCCACCTGTGACCACTCACTTGGTCGGCACAGCAGTGTTGCCGGGGAGAAAAGCTTCCTTTTCAGACGGAACTTGGACCTCCCGCAGTGCAGCGGTACCAGGTCGACCCAAGGTGAACCTCTGGGCAGAGGTCGGTTGCATCAAGAGGGAAATTATAGTTCCCTCCTATGCAACCACCTGAGGGGAAGGTGTCGCAAACATGCGCACCAGAGACTGACGCAGTCCGCCATTTTGTTAAGAATCTCCATTTTCTCCCCTCATTCTCCCTCCCCCCTCACTCTGAAGAGGCACAGTGACAGTGTATGTGTGTGTTAAAAAATGTCACAGGAGGGTCATAGGAGCTTTAAAGGCCCCCCCCCCCCCCCCAGGGAGCCAGGGCCTAGCTGTCCTAGAGCCTGTGCCATCTCACACCTTGGAAGAGATAAGGCAAGCTTTCCCAAGAGTTGACAGAGATTCCGACCTAATAAATCCAACTCAGCGTAGGTGACAGAATCAGATAACACTTCTCAAAATCCATTTCTCCCCTATGTCTCATATCTTGGAATATGAGAAACTTACATAAAAACCGGACATATCGTCAAATGGACGATGAGCAGGCGAACAGTTTGATGGGTCACTCATCTCGGGGACACAGGAAAGCAGAAAAATAGATCTCGTGAACCGTTCAGTGTACACTTTCATAATTCATATCTAAATACATCCAAGGCCTAATGGCAAGTACCTTAACCCTTTAACCTCTCTCTGTTATCTCTTTGCTGTGCTGTTATTCTCTGTATGTTTATATATATATCGTAGTTACATCTATTTTCTGTAAATATTTGTTATTGCACTCGTTTGACCTTTTAGTAATAAATCTTTCTTTCTGAAAGTGTTGAACTGTTTCTATAGGTCTGTATTGCAATTTACGAATCCCTGCCTCTAAAGAGAACGCTACTGTTTGTTTAACCCTCTGTATATCTGGCCTGTGTTATGACCGTGTTATACAGATGATTATTTCAATCATTATAGTGTTTTAGCTGAGATTGCCGAGTTTCCTCTTTCTCTGACAAAAAGGAGGTGGTGGCAGTGTGAAGGGTTAATTGCGTAATTAACCTGATCCAGTAACAATCGCTCAGGCTGCTGGTACATCGATCTGTGGTCCATTAGCTGGAAAATCGTTGTGCAGGGTGCAGCTGGGTGTGGCATTGTTACGCACGTTACATTGCGGTTTTAGATGGGCTAGTCCTTTGGTCATGAGTTTGGTGAGAAGGACTGGGGTCTGACTCTGCGTTCGTCACATATTGGACGTTGCGATCGTGGGATCGTCGCATGTTGGTGGCAGCGATCTTGCGATCGTGACAAGAACTATACTGCTGGACACTTCCTCTGTTGTCTTGTCCAGAAAAGCTCAATGCATTTGGAAGTTGCCTTATCAAAGACCTCTGTAAGCAACTGTTCCCAGGCTTTGCAGATCTAATAACTATTAATGATGACCTGCCTTTTTTGCAATGGTCTTTGTTAAACTTTACCAAACAGTGCCGTGCAATACTTCTGTGGTGATTTTCAACACGGCAGGAAGTCGCATGAATATCTATGAGAATATATTGACTTTTTGAAGAGAAATTTGCACATTTTATAAGGATTTGAATTATCATGTGGGAGTGATATATTGCAAGATGATTACGTTGTATATGTGATATTTTGCATAGTGGCTATTCTATGCACTTTTAAAAGAAGTTATGTGGGAGTTTAATTATGTCAGATGATTACATTGCATATGTGATATTTAGAGGTAAGGAGGTAAGTGAGCGCTAAAATGGCTAGCTGCTGAAACACCAAAAAGGTACCGAAAAACCTTCCAAAGTAACAATATAAATAAGGGTGCAGCGCTAAATATAAATATCACACAACTGATGATTATAAATATATGAAAAGTGCCAATGCAATATTCACATAAATAAATAAATAAATAAATTAAAATTTCACAGTGTCAAATAGAATATAAAGTGACTGATGGTGTGCAAAAAGTGGTATTAAATCTATAATAATAATAAGTCCATAAAGTGATTAAGTGATGACACTATACTCTGTCACTGTACAGTGACCACTGGTGCTGAATAAAGTGCCAATAGTGACAAATGAATGTCCATAAGGTGATATATGGAAGATCTAATATTGATCTCAAATGCTGGTGATCGATATCATCTATCCAATGATATGGTGATGTGCCAGGTAATGTAAGAATTGCGCACTCACCAGATGCACAATCAAATCATGCATTTAAAGATATACACTATCAGTAGGCAGCTGGAGGTCCCTTTAAGGATATGTGTGGTCTGGTCTGGAGTTCCCTCTCTGCTTCCAGCAATACCTCTGCTTTCAGCAATACCTCTGCTGTCCTCTTTATGCAGCTCTTGTAACTTGAGTTCTTGTTCTAAAATCAAGGGATCTCATGGACTGCAGAACTTCAATACAACCCATGTACTGGGGCCTCTGCTGCCTGTTTACATTGCAGATAGCAGATCTCCAGTGCACTGACCATGCATTCCCATAGGGTTCTATGGGGTCTGGTCCCAAGTGTCTCCTGCCTTGGCAGTTGACCTTGTTTAGCCTAGATTAGCTATATTAGAAAGTGAGCTTATCCTTTGGGCTCCATTTATGTTACGGTTACGGTAAATGGAGCCCAAAGGATAAGCTCACTTTCTAATATAGCTAATCTAGGCTAAAGAAGGTTAACTGCCAAGACAGGAGACACGTGGGACCAGACCCCATAGAACCCTATGGGAATGCATGGTCATTGCACTGGAGATCTGCTATCTGCAATGTAAACAGCAGTCCATGAGATCCCTTGATTTTGGAACAAGAACTCAAGTTACAAGAGCTGTATAAAGAGGACAGCAGAGGTATTGCTGAAAGCAGAGGAAGCAGAGAGGGAACTCCAGACCAGACTACACATATCCTTAAAGGGACCTCCAGCTGACTACTGAGAGTGTATATCTTTAAATGTATGATTTGATTGCACATCTGGTGAGTGCACAATTCTTACATTACCTGGCACATCACCATATCATTGGATAGATGATATCGATCACCAGCATTTGAGATCAATATTGGATCTTCCATATATCACCTTATGGACATTCATTTGTCACTATTGGCACTTTATTCAGCACCAGTGGTCACTGTACAGTGACAGAGTATAGTGTCATCACTTAATCACTTTATGGACTTATTATTATAGATTAATTAATACCACTTTTTGCACACCATCAGTCACTTTATATTCTATTTGACACACTGATATTTTTATTCATTTATTTATTATTTTATATGTGAATATTGCATTGGTACTTTTCATATATTTATAATCATCAGTTGTGTGATATTTATATTTAGAGCTGCACCCTTATTTATATTGTTCATATGTGATATTTGCACACGCACTTTATTATAAGGATTGCACATATGTTATGCACTATATAAATTTGCAGCACTGTTTATAGTACAGAAGTATTTTGCGGCACTGTTTGGTAAAGTTTATCTATATATGTGGGAACACATTTAGTGTCAGCAGCAGCATTATATAAGAGGAGGGACCATTTATATAATTGCGTTGAAGTATTTTGCAGATATTAATGATCTTTGTTATCCACCTTCCCTGACCTGTAGCTTGTTTGACCATGAGCTTGCCTGTCTATTTTGTACCACGCTTCATCACCAGTTGCCTCTTCAAATGTAGCTGACTGGGACACAACCTGGGAGCCATCTACAGAAAAGTCCATCATCCCTTGCGGGATGTATTGGTAAACACCATGCAGTTTTTTTTAGACCCTGCCCTTTGGCCCTCTTTAGGGCCTACATTGTAGTGGCACAGGGTCCAAGGATAAGCTTGTACATTTAAAATCTACATAACTAGCTCTGTTTACTATCATTGCACAATATAGGAATTGCATATAAATAAAAAAAAGTATAAAACAAAAGTATAAGCAGAATGATAAGTATTCAAATGTCATATGTTTGTATATTTACGAAGCGTGTTCTAGGATTACATAATATACATCCAAGAAAGTGCATTAAAAAATTAGTTTTTTTTCCATATTAAAAGACTTGATTTGATTTGATATTATCACATTGTATGACAGTTATGGAAAATAGTATTGAAAAGAGCAGCTGCAAAATGTCATCTCCATGCTTTGGGACTCATTCATTTCAGCTTCACAACTTATCTAAAAAAACAAAAAAGTAAGGGCAGCTCTTCTCAACTTCCTAGCTTCAGAACCGGAGCCTTGCATTCTCTACTAGGTGCTATGCTGGAAAAAATGTATTGCAATCAACAGCTTAGCTCACGGAAAAAAAATGTTGCAAATGCAGAAAAGCACTGTTTTAATTATATATTATAAATGCTAAACACTGCCATCCCTCAGCTATTTTCATTGAGTGAAAAAGAAATGTCTCTTAAAGTGTAATCCCTGTGTTACATTTTTGTCTTAATTAAATAGTAAGTAAATGTGCACCTCCTTGACTGTTCGTAATTGTTTTTCAGGTCACTGCTTGGAACTTGATGCATCATTGGATATGGCTGCCAAGCCCTACAAAGTTGATCCCATTATAAATATTTGCAGATTTCTTTTAGGGTAAGTTAAATTATTTTTTTTACTTTAATTTTCAACTATATTCATTTTGTAAGTGACGGTTTTTATTATACATGTATTGCTACATTTGTGTGGGCATAAATAGTTTAATAGTTTATGAAATACAGTCATGTAAGTATTTCTATCAGTTTAGAAAAGTACTAACACATCAGTTTTCTGGTCATCTGCATTGCCTTCACACTGTTTGTCACTATTGATTAGGATTGCGATAAAAGAGGTCAGCTAGTGTTGCAGAGAGCCGAAAACTTCTGACAGACGGCATCCATCTGTGTGCTAAAGTGCTTGAGCGTAAACAATTATAAACAACAAATATATTAAGTAACCCTGATAGACTTATTGTGTGTGCGTATTAAAGTAATATGGTTGTAATCATTTTGCACAACACTATTATTTTGACTTGTAAGGTATTCTAAGGGTGTTGTACCAAAATATATAGTGGAAAATATTCTAACTGGAGAATTGGATACAATCTGTCTTTCATAAATTTACCCAAACTGACATGATAACTTTTTATGAGTAGCGTTTTAAAAATTTTAATCTGGAAGTGATTTCATATTTGGATTTTACAAACCATTTGATATTTCTCCCCCATAGGAGCTTGATACAGACATTGAGAATAACAAATTCTTCACAAAGGGTAGTTGCAAATGGAGCATAATCAAAATGGGCTGCTGTTGACAATGATGTAATATAACGATTACTCTTTAATAAGGATGTGGGGTATGTAACTGAAAGTAGTGTGTCATAATTTTCTGTGACACACATTGTTAAAGGAAATCTGCAAAGAGAGAAGCACAAATGTTGCCATTGTGGACCTCTCCTTGCTGGTTGCCATGCTCAACACTAACAGACCCTTTGTTACTCTTAGGAATGGTTTAAGAGAAATTTCTGATTTTGGCACTGTTGCAGTGTTGGGTGGCATTAGATTACTGGTTTCACATGTTGCTTGGAATTGACATTAAACTCCTTCAGCTCCAACCTGGCGATGCTATATATGAAAGTTTTTGGCAGTACTGGTTGCCGTTTTAAACAAGCTGCTAGCAATTTTCAAGCTTTCAGTATTTTCTTTCTTTTTTTTTTTTTTTTTTTTTAACTGAAAAGCAGAAACAGTTTCCTTTTTGGTTCTTTTTTTCTCATAGGTACCTGTTGATTTATACAGTTGTTGCACATACTGATATAGGTTTGCTTTTGGTATGCTGCGAAGATACTTATGATATATATTTATTTCTTTTTATAGGTATGAGTGGTTTAAAAATACATGGGACAGCATGTGGTTGCCCCAGTTGGACTCATCTGAGCTACATTCTCTAGGATTGTTATTTCCAGTGGCATCTCTGTTTCTTTTCATGTTTGGAACTGGAGTAGCATACTGGAGTGGGGCATTTTTTAAATCCATAATTGGAATATTGGCAGCAATATGGAGAACGATTAAAAGGTGTGTCAAAAATACCATATCCATTACAATTATGAATATCATTTTAATAATGGAAGCTGTCTCATTTTGCAGTAAATTACTTTTTTGGTATGCCTCCACAGAAAATGAAAAAAACACGTAAGTATTGGTTTGACCACTAGTGAATAAATCTCTTATTTTTGTGTTATTAGTCATGGAAATGTGACATGTACATACCTTTTTGTTTTAAAGTGGTTTTGCCTTTTTTTGCACGGGTTTAGGCAAGGGCTTTTTGGCTTATTTTGCTGAGCCCCCCCACACAAACACATCAGAGCCAATCTGCTTACACTTTTGCATTGCTCCCCAAACCTTTAAAGTGGTTCTAAAGGCTTTTTACCTTAATGCATTCTCTGTCAATCACAGGGAGGAGGGCATGGTGGGTGGGGCCGAGCTGTGGTCTGTGTGCCTCTGTGCACAGAGCTGGCTCGGGAGTGAGCATGCACAAGTGCTTCCATTGTAAGTTGCTCTGGGGGCACTCGGAAGGGGGGGGGTTAGGGGAGATGTCAGGGTCATGATATCCATGATGGATGAGGCCTGAACATTATATCCCGTCCAACTTCGTGGACAGGTAGGTCAGGGTTTCTAAGCGTTACTGTTAAAAAACAAAAAAAAAAAAAAAAAACAAGGCTATGTTTGAAATGTATTCACTTCATAGTGCAATCTTTTCAAACTTTGCAATAAAATTGAACCACTCAGAGCTCAGTCTTAGGTGGATGATTAAGTGTTACATCACACCCTGAAAAGGTATATGGGTGTTTCACCTGAACTTTTCTCCACAACTTTTTCCTCAAGGATTCATTACAGTCGCAGTCCACACCTGGGTTACTATGCACTGCTTCTGGACATGCTTTCCCTATCTCCCACACTCTTCTCCATGAGTACAGCACAGGGGAATATCCTCACCTGTAGCTATGGTAGAAGCCAGGAAAAAGGGAGCCAAATCAAAATAGCAGGTGAACATTTGCTCTGCCTAAGCTCCACACAACACTCAACCTCAGAGTGATGCACTAGAGCGCCAGAAATTTCAGATGCTTCTAATGACTGTCTGTAAACTTGCAGGCCCAGCTATTCAACCAGCTTTCACTGCAATTTAAGTATGTCAAACTGCAGCTAACTTGACTAGGGCAACCAACATGATCCTGTATTCAAGAATCGTGCGGTTTCAGAGCAATTACAGCAATTCCATTCAGATATGCTTTTTTTTGCCCTAGCACATGCCCTGAGAAAAATCTCCAGAATGGCTCTAATCACCATTCATAGACTCTTAATCTTATGGCTAAAAGCTGGAACAGCTGAAGCGCTGATTGCAAAAAGCTGCTCCCACGTATGCCCTTCCAAGAAAGATGTCTGACCAATTCATCAAAGAGGTCACATTTTTTACTTCAAGGTTTTACTTCCACAGAGGAAGGTTCCAAAACCACCTTTCTCAGCTGTTATAAACATACAGCACCTGTCCACTCTAACCAGGCTTCAACTTCAAAACTTCCTTTTTGCACAAGGCCTGATGCCAGAAGCCACCAAGCCTTTTTCAAAGCCTGCTTCACAGTGAAGGAGTATTCTAACTCCTAAGAGTGAGGGGTGGAGCGTCTGTTACAGTTTGCCTCTCTCTGTCACAGAAGATTTCAGACTTATGGTTTCAATTGGTAGTTTCAAATCAAGTTCAAAACTCTACCCCCCCCCCCCCCCCCAGCCAAAAACAACCTAAGATCAGTCAAATGTGCAGAACGACCTGAACATTCTCTTGTCCCAAGGAGTCATTGTGCCAGTACCACCACAAGACAGTCTGAAAGGATTCCTCTCAAACTTGCTCACGGTACTAAATTCTAACAGGAGTATTCTATTTTTTACTTAAAATATATCTCAAAAATATCTTTCACATTCCAAAATTTTGCATGGAAATTGCACGTTCAGTTTTTTTCTTTTTTGAGACAAGGGAAAAACATGGCATCCGTGGACATTATGAATGAGGGTTCCAATTTACTCACCACATCAGTGATGTCTATACTTTGCAAGTGGCAGACAGCCAATTCCTGTTTGTCACACTGCCCTTTGGCCTATCCTCTGTTCTCAGGGTGTTCACAAATGTCTTCTCAGAACTCAAGGCATGTAAGTCACAGGCTATATAGACAATCTTCTCCTGAGGGAGTCATGTCCTTATTGACTCTCAGACTTTAATAGTATGGCTGTTGAAACCCAGGTCTTAAAAGATAGATAGATTTCTGAGTCTGTGATTACCACGTTGTTGAAAGCAAGAAAAGCCGCTTCCATTAAAATCTGTTATCAAACCTAGAAATCTTATTTTGCCTTGTGTGAATGTACAGTATCTCACAGAAGTGAGTACACACCTCATATTTTTGTAAATATTTTATTATGTCTTTTCATGTTCAACACTGAAGAAATGACACTTTGCTACAGCTTGTATAACAGTGTAAATTTGCTGTCCCCTCAAATTAACTCAACACACAGCCATTAATGTCTAAACCGCTGGCAACAAAAGTGAGTACACCAAATTGGGCCCAAAGTGTCAATATTTTGTTTGGCCACCAATATTTCCCAGCAATGCCTTAACCCTCTTGGGCATGGAGTTCACCAGAGCTTCACAGGTTGCCACTTGAGTTCTCTTTCACTCCTCCATGATGACATCACGGAGCTGGTGGATGTTCGAGACCCTGCGTTCCTTTACCTTCCATTTGAGGATGCCCCACAGATGCTCAATAGGGTTTAGGTGTGGAGGCATGCTTGGCCAGTCCATCACCTTTACCCTCAGCTTCTTTAGCAAAGCAGTGGTCGTCTTTGAGGTGTGTTTGGGCTTGTTATCATGTTGGAATACTGCCCTGCGGCCCTGTCTCCGAAGAGAGGGGATCATACTTTACTTCAGTATGTTGTAGTGTAATTTCTTCAGTGTTGTCACATGAAAAGATATAATAAAATATTTGCAAAAATGTGAGGGGTGTACTCACTTCTGTGAGATAAAGTAGTTGATTCAATTCTAGAGATTACTCTGTGCTTCACATTCTGGCCTTCCTACAAACAGGTCTTGTCCAGAATTTGGCTCTTAGTACCTTCAAGGGCATGTACTGATCCGTATTTTCCAAAGGCCTCTGACTTTTGCACTTTTGTAAAAACCTTTATCCAAGGTGTTTCTTTTATCAGACCCCCCTCCCTTTTTGCAACATCCTATGCTTCCCTGGGACCTTTGTTTTCTCTGCCATGCAGAAACCACCTTTGAAACCATCAGGGATATTCCATTGGAGATTTTCGCTCGCAAAGTAGCCTTTTTGGTAGCTATCATGTCTGTCAAATGTGCCTCTGAACTGGCGGCTCTTTCCTTCCTCATACTCCACAACATCAAGGTAATTTTGTGCCTTGCTCCTAAACATTCAAAGAAGTTTTCTCTACATTGCCTGGATGTAGTCAGAGCCATTAGAGTACACCATAAAGTACTGCTTCTATCACACAAACTGATTCCCTCTTTGTTGTTTCCTAGGCTCCTGACAAGGCAAACCCTGCTTCAAAATCCACCATTGCACAGTGGATAGGAAGCTTAATTACAAAAGCTTATGCTCTCAAACAAAAAATACTCATCATGCGCTGTTGCACATCCGTTCCACCAGATCATTTGGAGTTTGGGCATTTCGGCAGCAAGCATCTGTAGCCCAACTGTGTAAGGCCACACCTGCTCTTCTGTTCATACTCGCTTAAAGTTTTACCAGGTGGACGCCCAGTCTTCTGTGAATACAGCTTTTGGCAGCAAGGATCTTGCAGTGGCATGCTGAACTCTGGTTCTTTGACCCATGTTTTTTGTGGCCTGTTAGTACAGTTTAGTTTAGTAAGTTGTTGCTCTCCCTTTGTATTCATTGCTTGGGGGCATCCAATTGTATATGAATATGTTGCCTTTGTACTGTACTGTACAATTAGGATAAAAGGAGATATATATATATTATTTATTTTTTAGTCCCCTGTAAGTGATGAAGTTCTCACGGTAAATGATGGAGTCCTGTTCTGCTTTATGGAGTTGAAATTCTTACTAGCATTTATTTTCTTTGAATTCTTCAATCCTTCAATAAACCTGTTCACTGCCTTCTAATACAATAGATGCTGTGCATTTGATGCCACCACAGTAAAACCTGAACCCAGACCCCCAATCTATGGAGTTTGCTTGTAATGTTGCTTCATGCACTGGATCCAGCTTGGGTTCTTAGCGTAATGTGTATAGTTAGCCTCAGGGTGTCCTACAGGTTCAGGGCCCTGGTCCATTCCTTTCGTTCCCAGTCCTTGAAGAATGGGCAAAACCTGTACCCATAAAAGAACCAGTGATATGGAAAGGTATGAAACGTTTGTCCTGTTATCTGAGCTGGTTATTGTAGCCTTTATAGCAAGTATGGGTTTTTTAATAACTCCACTATTTGCAGTACACTTATTCGTGTCTCCTGAATAGTATTTGTTCAATTATAAATCTATCAGGAGACTGGGGATCATGTTTGATTTTAATTGCTTGGCAAGTGTTTTAAACCTTCTAATTTAGCAGTAAAATTTCTGTGTATCCTTCTCCATACATGTTTACCCCATTTCCACACCCTTTGCTCTGAGTACCCTACAGAGGAAATACCTTCATTGATAGCAATGGTAGAAACCAGGTGCAGAGGAACCATTCAGGCAAACATTTGCTGTGTTATTGGCCTGATAGGGAAACATTTGCTCTGCTGATGGCCTGAAAGCACTCAAACCACTCAGTGACCTTGCTTCCCTTGCACCGGAGAAGGACCCTGGTTTAACATCAGTTTTTGCTTTCAAGCGTAGCTCTATCTCAAGCACGTAACAAGCAGCCTATCTGAAAAAAGCTGAAATCTCTACAGTTATGATAGAATTTCTAGGACATCTAACGGTCTTAAAGTGATACTAAAAGTTCAGATGTTTTTTTTTTTTTAATTTAAATAACAAACATGTTATACTTACCTTCTCTGTGCAATGGTTTTGCACAGAGCAGCCCCTATTTTCCTCTTCTCAGTTCCCCCACCGGCGTTTGTGGCTCCTCCCCATAGAGCACCGAGCTGCTCATTCATGGTTGCTCCCAAGTTTTTTTTTTTTCCCCTTCATGCATAGAATGCATGAAGGTAAAAAATCTTCAGCCTTTTGAACCACTTTAATTTAGCCATCGCTGTCCAGAGTCCAAAACTGGCAGGCTTCTTCTCCACTTCCTCGTTCTCTAGAATCCGTAGTGGAACTACCTCCTTTTAGAAGAGGTGGACATGAAAAACTTTGAAGAAGACCTGATGCTATGACTTCAGGGGCTTCTACACAGAGCACCACACCACTCTCCTCAGTCTTAATATTCAAAGCCAAAATTACCCCTGTAGTACAAATAAAGTTCTGGCCTGAAGAGAGAGGTGGGGGTGCTGGAGTTATGACCACCAATTTGGTGGTGGGGGGGGGTTGTTCTCAGTGCTGGGGCTATTATTGTGTCCGCTAAAGCCACCTAACTCACTTTTTTAGAAAAAAAAGCCCCATCTATGGGCTGCTTAACACCACTGCTGGGGGATTTTATTGTGCTCACTGAGACCAGTGTTGGGAGTTATTTTGTCCACTGACACCAATGTTGGGGGTTTTTACTGTGTCCACTGACACCAATGTTGGGGTTGTTTTTGTGTCCACTCATACCAGTGCTAGGGATTAATAGTGCATCCATTGACACCAGTGGTGGGGGTCATCATTCCATCCACTGACATCAATGCTGGGGGATTATTGTGTCCACTGACACCAATGCTGGTTGTGGTTCTTGTTGACACAACAATCCTGGGGGTTATTACTGCCACTAACAAAAAAAAAGGATGGGGGGGGGGTGTAAATGGTCCACAGAAACTCTTTAATGGTAGGTAGACAGGGGTTACAGAAAAAAATAGAGGGAGATGGGGATAGGGTATTCGTCCAGAACAGGGTTATAGCAAGAAATTCCAATAATCCAGAAAAGCGAAGTGAAAAAATGAAATACTAAGCACTATATAACTAATCCTGGATAAAGGGAGGTGGAGCTCCCAAAGAGGGTAGCGAAAAGCCCAATAATGAAGCATAGAGAGTTGGGCCTATATGTCGGTTATCAAACTAAAATGAATGCCTCCAATTTCCAGTGTACCTAGGTTGCTCTAGTTGTGCACCACTATGGGGGCAAAGTTCAGAGGTCAGCACTAGGGACACCTTCATTTCCTCTGTAAAACAAATCATATTACCTCGGAAAGGTGTGGAGTGAGGAATTGGACTACTGCTGCAAGGGTAAGATACGGAATAAAGGGAGGCTGGTACAATAATTAAGCCACCAGACTGCTCATTGGGTAAGAAGGATATACTGGACCTCCAGGAGGAGAATGGGAGAGGGCATGTACATACAAATTGGAGGAAGGGTTTAGGAATTACAGCTCTTAAGAGTAGCCATCCCCCATTTTCAACGGACCGAAAGTAATTGGACAATTGAATCAAAAAGTGTTTCATGGCCAGGTGTGGGCTACTCCTTCGTTATTTCTTCATCAATTAAGCAGGTAAAAGGTCTGGCGTTGATTCTAAGTGGTATTTGCATTTGGAATCTGTTGCTGTGAACCTACATCATGCGTTCAAAGGAGCTGTCCATGCAAGTGAAACAGGCCATTGTAAGCCTTCAAAGACGAAACAAATCCATCAGAGAATGCAGCAACATTAGGAGTGGCCAAATCAACAATTTTGGTACATTCTGAGGAAAGAACGCACTGGAGAGCTCAGCAACATAAAAAGGCATGGACGGCCACGGTAGACAACAGTGATGGATGATTGCAGGATCCTCTCTATGGTAAAGAAAAACCCATTCACAGCATCCAGACAAGTGAAGGACACTCTCCAGGAGGTGGATGTATCATTTTCAAAGTCTGCAATCAAGAGAAGACTTCATTAGAGCAATTACAGAGTGTTCACCACAAGGTGCAAACCATTCAGAAGCCTGAAGAATAGAAAAGCCAGATTACACTGCCAAAAAACATCAAAAAATGCCAGACCAGTTCCGGAAAATCATTCTTTGGATGGATGAAACTAAGATTAATCTGTTCCAGAATGATGGGAAGAAAAAAGTGTGGAGAAGGCTTGGAACAACTCATGATCCAAAGCACACAACGTCATCTGTAAAACATGGTGGAGGCAGTGTGTTGGCATGGGCATGTATGGCTTCCAGTGGCACTGGGTCATTGGTGTTTATTAATGATGTGACAGAAAAGAGAAGCAGCCGGATTAATTCTGCAGTGTTTAGAGATATACCGTCAGCCCAGATTCAGCCAAATATCCAAAACGCAACCCAGCAGCTTTTGAAGTAAAAGAAGTGTAATACTCTGCAAAGGCCGAGTCAATCACCTGATCTCAACCCAATTGAGCATGCATTTCACTTGCTGAAGGCAATACTAAAGGCAGAAAGACCCACAAAGAACAACTGAAGACAGCTGCAGTTAGAGCCTGGCAAAGCATCAGAAAGAAGGGAACCCTGTCTTTGGTAATGTCCATGGGTTCCAGACTTCAGGCAGTCATTGCCAGTTAAGGATTCTCAACAAAATATTAAAAATGACCATTTTATTTATGATTATATTGATTTGTCCAATTACATTTGACCCCTGAAAATGCAGGGGCTGTGTATAAAAATGGTTGCGGTTCCTAAAATGTGTACTTGATATTTATGTTCAACCCCTTGAATTAAAGTTTAAAGTCTGCACTTTAAATTCACTTGGATTGTTTCATTTTAATTTATCCTGGTGGCATACAGAGCCAAAAGTATGAAAATTGCGCCTGTATCTAAATAAATATATATATATATATATATATATATATATATATATATATATATATATATATAGACCTAACTGTATATATATACACATATACAGTGGATATAAAAAGTCTACTCACCCCTGTTAAAATGTCAGGTTTCTGTGATGTAAAAAAAAATGAGACAAAGAAATAATTTCAGAACTTTTTCCACCTTTAATGTGACCTATAAACTGTACAACTCAATTGAAAAAACAAACTAAAAAACTAAAATAATGTGGTTGCATAAGTGTGCACACCCTCTTTTAACTGGGGATGTATCTGTGTTCAGAATTAACGAATCACATTCAAAATCATGTTAAATAGTCAGTACACCCCTGCCATCATTTAAAGTGCCTCTGATTAACCCCAAGTAAAGTTCAGCTGTCCTAGTAGGTCTTTCCTGGCATTTTCTTAGTCGCATCCTACAGCAAAAGCCATGATCTGCAGAGAGCTTCCAAAGCATCAGGTATCAGTGAGGAGAAGGGTACAAAAGAATTACCAAGGCATTAGAAATACCATGGAACACAGTGAAGACAGTCATCATGTGGAGCAACTATGGCGCAACAGTAAAATTACCAAGAACTGGACGTCCCTTCAAAATTGATGAAAAGACGAGAAGAAAACTGGTCTGGGAGGCTGCCAAGAGGCCTACAGCAACATTAAAGGAGCTGCAAGAATATCTGGCAAGTACTGGCTGTGTGGAATGTGTGACAACAATCTCCTGTATTCTTCATATGTCTTCATATGTCTGGGCTATGGGGTAGAGTGGCAAAACGGAAGCCTTTTCTTACGAAGAAAAATATCCAAGCCCGACTAAATTTTGCAAAAACACATCTGAAGTCTCCCGAAAGCATGTGGGAAAATGTGTTCTGGTCTGATGAAACCAAGTTTAAACTTTTTAGCCATAATTCCATAAGATATGTTTGGCGCAAAAACAACACTGCACATCACCAGAAGAACACCATACCCACAGTGAAGCATGGTGGTGGCAGCACTGTGTGTGACCTACAGCAGATGTCAGTGTAAATTTAATGAAATCTGAAATGCAGACTGCAAACGCAGTGTGTTTGTCTGCACCGGATCGCATGGTACCAAACTACCATGTGGTCCAGTTGCCATGCATTTTTCATGCGAGTGCAGTGCAGTGTGATTTTAGTACATTCAAATGAATGGGTTGAAAATGCACTGAACTTAACACATGAAATCCATTATTGCAAATTGTTTTTCTGGCAAGATCAACAAGCATTTTCTGTACTTGCTGAAAATGTTCTCTGCCTAAAAAATTAAAAGGAATGCAGCAATTACATCTGGTAATCAGCAATATATTATATATTTCTGTTTTGGGGTTATTTATCCTTTAAAGACACAATTAGGATTCTAGTCTGTGTGTACAAATCTAGCAAGTAGAAATGTGTTTTCACACATTTTTCTTACATCTATTTTTCCTAGAAATACGATTTCAAACGAAAACAGCAATTTTAAAAAGGCAATTTTCGTGGAGACATTATTATTCTCTCTTGTTTGTTGGGGAACTTGTGGTGCCTTGAGCATTTTGCTTATCTTTATGCGCTACTTAATTAAGGTAAGATTAAAACTTCTAGATATATGAAACACATATATATATATATATATATATATTGTGTGTGTATATATGTGTGTGTGTGTGTGTGTGTGTGTGTGTGTGTGTGTGTGTGTGTGTGTGTGTGTGTATGTATATACAGTGGGGCAAAAAAGTATTTAGTCAGCCACCAATTGTGCAAGTTCTCCCACTTAAAAATATGAGAGAGGCCTGTAATTTGCATCATAGGTAGACCTCAACTATGAGACACAAAATGAGAAAAAAAATCCAGACAATCACATTGGCTGATTTGGAAAGAATTTATTTGCAAATTATGGTGGAAAATAAGTATTTGGTCAATATATCAAAAGTTCATCTCAATATTTTGTTATATATCCTTTGTTGGCAATGACAGAGGTCAAACATTTCCTGTAAGTCTTCACAAGGTTGGCACACCCTGTTGCTGGTATGTTGGCCCATTCCTCCATGCAGATCTCCTCTAGAGCAGTGATGTTTTGGGGCTGTCGCTGGGCAACACGGACTTTCAACTCCCTCCAAAGGTTTTCTATGGGGTTGAGATCTGGAGACTGGCTAGGCCACTCCAGGACCTTGAAATGCTTCTTACGAAGCCACTTCTTCGTTGCCCGGGCGGTATGTTTGGGATCATTGTCATGTTGAAAGACCCAGCCATGTTTCATCTTCAATGCCCTTGCTGATGAAAGGAGGTATGCACTCAAAATCTCACGATACATGGCCCCATTCATTCTCTTCTGTACATGGATCAGTCGTCCTGGTCCCTTTGCGGAGAAACAGCCCCAAAGCATGATGTTGCCACCCCCATGCTTCACAGTAGGTATGGTGTTCTTTGGATGCAACTCAGCATTCTCTCTCCTCCAAACACAACGAGTTGTGTTTCTACCAAGCAGTTCTATTTTGGTTTCATTTGACCATGTGGTATTTTCCCAATCCTCTTCGGGATCATCCAAATGCTCTCTAGCAAACTTCAGATGGGCCCGGACATGTACTGGCTTAAGCAGGGGGACACGTCTGGCACTGCAGGATCTGAGTCCCTGGCGGCGTAGTGTGTTACTGATGGTAGCCTTTGTTATGTTGGTCTCAGCTCTCTGCAGGTCATTCACTAGGTCCCCCCGTGTGGTCCTGGGATTTTTTCTCACCGTTCTTGTGATCATTTTGACCCCACGGGGTGAGATCTTGCGTGGAGCCCCAGATCAAGGGAGATTATCAGTGGTCTTGTATGTCTTCCACTTTCTAATTATTGCTCCCACAGTTGATTTGTTCACACCAAGCTGTTTGCCTATTGCAGATTCAGTCTTCCCAGCCTGGTGCGGGTCTACAATTTTGTTTCTGGTGTCCTTTGACAGCTCTTTGGTCTTCACCATAGTGGAGTTTGGAGTGTAACTGTTTGAGGTTGTGGACAGGTGTCTTTTATACTGATAACAAGTTCAAACAGGTGCCATTGATACAGGTAATGAGTGCAGGACAGAGGGGCCTCTTAAAGAAGAAGGTATAGGTCTGTGAGAGCCAGAAATCTTGTAGGTGACCAAATACTTATTTTCCACCATAATTTGCAAATAAATTCTTTCCAAATCAGCCAATGTGATTGTCTGGATTTTTTTTCTCATTTTGTCTCTCATAGTTGAGGTCTACCTATGATGCCAATTACAGGCCTCTCTCATCTTTTTAAGTGGGAGAACTTGCACAATTGGTGGCTGACTAAATACTTTTTTGCCCCACTGTGTATATGTATATATATATGTGTGTGTATATATATATATATATATATATATATATATATATATATATATATATATATATAGTGCAGCGCTATAAACGCACACTGTATGAAAATATGTATACGGTAATTCTTATAAAATATATATATATGCAAAAGAATTAAGTGCGGTTGTGCATATAAGTGAATCATTCAATGTCCATGATATATCTAAAATACAATCAGCAAATATCAAACAATAATAGTCAAATTGATTGCAATACATCCAAGTGAAAAAGTGCAGATGTGCAAAAAACCACGGAGGGAATCCACCATCTCAGATGTGTGTACACTCACCAGAAATTCTACATTTGCAGGCATCTGTTATAATCTGTCACATCTGGGGGTGCAGGAACAGAGGCAGTTTAGGGGTTAATCCTACAGCATCATCCATATGCAGGTGGGGCGAGTATTCCTTGTCCTTATACAGCTCGGTGTCCGATTTCATTCCTTTGAATGTAGCTTCCCCTTCTTCAGACCCTCAAAAGTAGACGTAAGGCTTGGCAGAATCTCCCATTGTCCTTGTAGCAGAGTCTGACATGCAGAGGGAAACCTCTCCTACAGCCCCGGCTAATGTTGCCATAGTGGCTGCTAGAATGCGGTGAGGTAGGAGTGCCTGTAAGATGTTCTGCCAATGGGTAGCAGGTGCGTCACCAGAGATGCGTCAGCTAGCTGGAACAGTAGATGACTGCAGGAACAGCAGACCTGGAACTGGGCGGACAGCAGGTGGTAGTTGCTTGGCAGACAGCTGGCTGGTTGCAGATGCAGGAGGGCTGGCAGCACACAGCAGATGAAGGTCCAACAGGGATCAGGTAGTATGCAGAGCAGGACAGACTGACAACTGGATGCATGGTCAGGCAAGCAAGGTCAGCAACAAACGGTCAAGTACAGACATAAACGACAGACCGAGAATGGTAAGGATACAGGCAGAGGTCAGCAACACTGGAGTGAGCAGATTAGCAGGAGGCAGAGCAGAGTCGAGAGACTAGCCTAGGTCAGGGCAGGTAGTATTCAAGAGTGGTCAGGACATGCCGGGTCAAACACAGGAACATATGCAGGAACACAGGTAATAGCTGTAGATCAGACAGCACTGACTAATACAACTTCTACAGTTAAAATGGTCCTATGCGCCATTGTTAGCGGCTGGTGCACGCCCATGCATGTGCCCATCTAAGCACAGCAAGGCGAGCACCTGTAGGTCTTCGCCAGTGCATATGTACGTACCTTGAGCCTTCACTTGCACTATAGCTGGTACTTTCCTGACAGTGGCATGACCAATGCCAATTGCGCTGATTGTGGTGCATCACACGTTCACTTGTTTTGTAAGCAAACTTTTTTCACATGTCAAACAGTGAAATTTCATTAAATTCTATTGGCCATTGATTGGTACAAGGCAGTGGATTGCCTCATACTGCACTGGAAAAGAAAGCACTGCCTGCAATAGCTTTTTCAGTGCACACCACTGCAACATGGTGATGTGAACTGGCCAAATAGGAGACAAGGCATTTTTACACTTTGCCAGTGCATTGTGAGGCAATCCACTGCCTTGTACCACTCGCCTTGCTGTGCTTAGACATGGCGTGGGAGTGCACCAACCACTAACATTGGCGCATATGACTATTTTAACTGTAGAAGTTACATTAGCCAGTGCTGTCTGATCTACAGCTATTACCTGTGTTCCTGCATATGTTCCTGTGTTTGACCCGGCATGTCCTGCCCACTCTTGGAATACTACCTGTCCTGACCTTGGCTTGTCTCTGGACTCTGCTCTGCCTCCTGCTTCCAGTGTTGCTGACCTCTGCCTGTATCCTCACCATTCTCTGTCTGCCGTTTATGTCTGTACTTGACTGTTTGTTGGCTCCTCAATGTGGAAAAGTTGGCCTGTACCTTTTAGATCACTGAAGATGGTTCTTCCAGCATGACAATGATCCAAAACATACCGCCAAGGCAACAAAGCAGTAGCTCAAGAAGAAGCACATTAAGGTGAAGGAGTGGCCTAGGCAGTCTGCAGACCTTAATCGAGGGAGATTATGGAAGGAGCTGAAACTTCAAGTTGCCAAGTGACAGCCAAGAAACCTTAAGGATTTAGAGAAGATCTGTAAGGAAGAGTGGACCAAAATCCCTCCTGAGATGTGTGCAAACCTGGTAACCAACTGCAAGACTTACAACTTACCTGTCAAGGTCCTACCTTTTCCCTGAGGTTATGTTACTCCATGTGCTGGCGTCTATCTTGGATTCTGCTGTGCATGATGGGAATCCTTTTTATGCCTTCAGGTCTCTGAGGTCCACCCCCCAGAGGGGCGTGGCTGATGACATATAAGCCTGTGGCCCGCACATGCTCTTTGCACTTGTGTCTTGTGTCTTTGTGTTACTATTACTCTGTTCTGACTCTCGTGACTCTCCTGGTATTCTGATTCGGCTTGTGACTTGACTATTCTTTGTATTCTCCTTTGATCTGACCCTCTGTTGCTGAACCCGGCTTGTGACCTGTGATTCTCGTCTGCTGTCCTGTACTGTTTTGTCCTGTTGTTGTTGACCCCGGCTTGTCTGACTACTCTTTTGTTTCTTCCACCAGCTACACGCCATTGGCGGCGGCCATTACCGCAGCTGAGGTGTCCCGGGGGCCGCGACCTGGTTCCTGGCTGCGTCAAGTCCATCCCCACCATCAGGGGCCCTGGTGAAGGGCAGCCTGGGACTTAGACTCCGCGCCCTGAGGGACTTCGGTCTGTGGGTGGTGGTTGTCGTCAGCCAGTGCGTTACATTGTTAGGCCTGCCTGTCCGTTCCTCGGCTCCTGCCCTGACATTACCTCTGTGCTTGCCAACAAGGGTTTCTCCACCAAGTAATGTTTATCTTGGGAATCAAATACTTTTATTTTATTTTTTTTACTCGCTGAACTGCAACTCAATGTCTAACATTTGTATCAGTTTTTTTTTTGTGGTTGACATTCTGTTTCGTGTGTATGTGTGATTTCCACGCTGTGCATTACCTTTTGACCTTTTTCGCCTCAGTCTAAAGCAGGCCGTAGATGGATCAGCAGGGACCAGCTGAATTTTAGTGTGTGTGTGTGTGTGCGTGTGTGTGTCCCTTCTCGATTTGAAGTTGATAATTTCATCGACTTCTGTTGGAGAACTTTGAAAGAGGTTTCTTATTCAGCGGCTGCAGCCAATAAGCCTATGTCAGAATACAGTGTCTCGTTGA